ACTACACTTAAAAAGGGAGGTGTCGGGCATTGGGTGAATTTTAAGTATGAGAGGTTGCCCAATTTTTGTTTTGTCTGTGGAATCATAGGACATTCTAAAAAATTCTGCCCATTGGCGTATGAAGAAGATTTGGTGTTGGGAAAAAGATTTGTGGTACACCTCATAGCAGGTAGTGGGGTGAAGACTAGTTCAACAGGAGGAAGTAAGTGGTTAGTGGATGGATCTTCAAGCTCGAGTCGGGATCCTCAAAACAAGGAGGATAACAAGTCAAATCGATGGACGGGTGGAGGAGGTAAGGACTCCATTTTTGAATGTCCCCCTATTACTTACTGTCTCATACCATATTTAGTAACATTTATGTGGCTCTAATTCATTCTTACTTTATTCCCACTTTATCAACTCATTATCAATCACATAATTCTACTTTTCTTAAAAACCACACCACTCCAATCTGTCCCAATAATAGGGGGACGGAGGGAGTATAAATAAAAAATAAAAAAATTGAACTTTATATTCATACTTTATAACTGTGTTATTATATAAATAAATTATTTAGTATTACATTTTACATTTTTATATTTCGAATATATGTATTTAGTATTTACAAATCATTTAGATATTTATTTTAAGAGTTTATATTTCATGTTTTTATATTTTAGCATTCAGGAGAGTTACAATTTTACGTATAGAATATAGGGAAAATTCCCAAAATATGAGTAAAAATGTTTGGAAATTTCAAAATATTAATGTTATGTTTTTCTTCCCAAAATAGAAGTAATGTGACAGTATTTAATGCCATCTTAGAGTTATTACTAACAAAATGGATGTAGTATACTAGGTCTTAACATGACAATACTTACTGCTATTAATGGTAATATTTTTCAATCATGCTAGATTGTCAGTAATGGTTCTTTTTTCTTTGTTTTTCATTTTTCAAAATAGTAGGTAATTTTTTTTTCTTTTTCATTTTCTTTCCTTTTCCTTTTCTTTGTTGCCCCCCCCCCCCTCTTTGTCCATCTGCAACTCCAATGTTTGTAGAGTCCGTATATCGTACAACTGCTTGTAATTTAGGTTATATTACTAGTTTGTACTATTAGTCTGTATATCGTACATGTGCAATGATAGCGTTTTCATGATTTAGGTGAAAATATCGACTTCTATTAAGTGAGCATCAAACACTTTTCGTGAGCATCCACACATTTTATTGAATATTAGGGCCTAATAATGAACATCATGATCTCTGTTTTATACGCAGTATCTGGTTATTTTTTTCTTATTATTTCTTGTATAAAAATTTCTTAAATTATATATATGATCAACTCTTATGAATTCCGATATGAGAATCTAATTTAGGCCATGCGTTTTGCCTAATCTAATTTCTTAAATTATATCTATGATCAAGTCTTATCAGTTCCAACTCAAGCCCTCGGTTTCTAAATGAGCAACGATGGATGTGTTTCACATGGAGGAATGATGATCTGCCCTTTTCCTTTTTTAGTTGTTTGAACAGAACAAAGTAAGAGCGATGATATCACACATATTTGACATAGAAAAATAGAATTAGAGATTTAAAAAGCATATATGAAGGGCTAAAGATCAAATCAGGTTAACGAACTAAAAATCGAATGATGCTTCCTTCTATATTGGTCTGGAACAATCAAAGAAGGATCAGAAACCCAACTATAAACTCATCTATATACTACTGTATTCAGATTATTAGTTTCATCCATGATTAATTTTTCTCTTAAGATCAGTCTAAATGAGGCAGAATTCTAGGTCCTGGTACATCATGCACCTTATGGATTTATGAACCTAGATACGGTAGTAGGATTGGTAATTGTATTGATTTTTTTTTTAGTTTTGATGAGAGTCAGTTTGAAGAAAATTGGGAAGCCTATATGCGAATCAGAGTTTGTATGGAGGTCAGGAAGCCACTGAAAAAAAGGTACAACTCTTAGGAAAGGTCAGGGGTTGGTCACCGGGCCGATTTCAAATATGAAAAACTACCTAATTTTTGTTTTGTTTGCGGTGTTATTGGCCATGCCGACAGGTTTTGCCCATTGACATATGAGTGGAAAAATCTTATGGGGTGGAGCTTAGAGTAGGAGGAGGGGGGAAGCCTCGTCCTCCAGGGTAAACAAGTGGTTGGTGCCAAAGGGACCCTCATTAACAGGTATGGGGACGAAGCAACAAGATACTCCTCATACCAATGATGGTGGAATGGCGGGGCGAATGGAGGCAGGGAGACAAAGTTGGGTTGTTAATGTGAGTGAACTCGGGAAGAATACGGCGGGGGGGAAGGTGGATCAACTAGTATAGAGGAGGTGCCTGGTGACCAGAAGCGCAGGAGGCTGTGGGAAGGAGCAGGAACAAGAAGACTCAAGCAGAGACGGCATGACCCTGAATATGCCAAAAAACGGGGAGGCGGCGGGTCCTGGACACTAGACGCACCGGGAATTCTGAAAACGATTTATGGATGGTCCGGAGCGTGGAAGGTCCTCGTGATTTCAGGGCCGAAGCAACAATTTAATTATGTTCTCTTTACTTTTACTGTTTACTTTCATCAGACTATTTTTATTTTCGCATTTTAATTCTCTTTCTGTCAGACTCTTGCATTATGATTGAGTGATGAGAGCACTGTTTTGACCGTCTTTAGCTCAGATATGCCAATTACAGGATCAACGAGTCATATTCCTTCCGTGAAGGTGATTGATTCTAAGTATGGTTCAAGGACTGACAGTTGTGTGCAGTCTTTTTGTCTGTATGTTCCCTATCTGAACGTTGTGATATCAAATAAGTCTCTTTCTTCCAAAAGAAACAAATGAGCACACGAATGTTTTTGTTTTAAATTTTATTCAATTTTGAATCTTATTTCAACATGAAGACAAACAAACAAAGGAAAAATAGAAAAAATAAATAGAGGAAACAGAGGTTTGAGGAAAGGAACAAATACGTGAAATGAGGGCAGAAACGGAAAAATGTGGAGCAGCCAAACCAAAACGCTACACTAATCAGCAGTTCAAAAGCTTTTTGAGTTCAAAAAGCTAATCCAACCGATCATTTACCAAACAATAATTTTAACTATTTAAAAGGGTCAAATTCATTAAATGTAGTCAAAAGAAGTCAAAAAAAGGGCTGATCAACAACCATTTGCCAAACAAAGCATATGTCATTTCATTATTAGACGTTATGGAGTAGGAAGTAGGGAGTAATATTTTGAGATCCGGGTCGGATGAAACCGATCCGTGGCGCAGACAGATGGAAAGTATGGTGGAGAAGGAAAGGTGTGAGTTGGCAGTCTTTAAAAAGGGCTTAATAATAGGCCAGAGATCGAGACAGCCCATCATCCCCTTCCCCTTGCAGATCTCCGCTGCCCTTTCTTCATCATCTTTGGTGGGTACGTCTCTCTTCCGTCTATCTATCTATCGTATGTAAAAGTCCGGCCTTGATTTTTACTCTTCACTTTACTTCTCTTCTTCTTCTTCTTTGTCCATTCGGCTAGAGTTTTATTGCGCCATAAATGGGTGCGCCGGGAGCTGAGTGGTCAGACGTATGGGCGGAGGGTCCTGTTAACGAGAAAGCAGACGACAGAGATGAGAAGAAGATGAAGAAGAAGGAAGGAAATTCATCCGCTGCACTGTTCAAAAAAGTTAAAGCCGCGGCAACGGTTGGGGTGCAAAAGGTGAAAGATGGCGGAAGCACGGCTTTGAAGTGGGTCAAGAACAAGTCCCAGCGTAAATAAGGCAGCCTTCTACCACCTCAGCTTGTGATTGTTTGTGTGTAATATCTATCCAGTGTCGTTTTATGGAAAAAACATTATTAAATTAAATACTCCGTATATTTCATGGATCATTACTGTTTTACAGTCTTTATTTTGTATTGAGATTTATGATGAAGGTAAGTGGCAGACATGAAAAGTTTTATGGTGATGATATTATGTTATTGGTATACATAATCTTGCAGCAGTTGGGACTTGTGAGTAGATAGAGCTTTACTCTGCAATCTGCATATATAAAAAGTTTTAATCTTTTTGGAATTTATATGGCTTTGAATGGTTTTGTGGAATTATATTTTACTCTGCAATCTGCATATACAAAAAGTTTTAATCTTTTTGAAATTTATATGGCTTTGAATGGTATCGTGGTATTATATTTTACTCTGCATGGTGATGGTATTATGGTATTATACTATTATTATATTTTGGGATTAAGTATCACTTTTAAAGTCGTTTCTTTGAATGTAAATTTTACTTTTTTATGAAGACTTTAGTTTATCATAACAGTATAAAGAATCTTGAAATGGGATGGATGAAGTATTGCTTTGGTAAATACGGAGTATATATTTTCCATAGGAAAAATGTTACTTTTATTAACCAAGAAAATCACTTGCCATTTGATTGACAACATAACTTGTTTTTTTTTGTATATTATTACTTATGTAATAGGACTACTGGACTATAGGAGTATGTATTAAAAACAGTGAAAAGTCCGTGATAGGAGTGCCAACAAATAAGTCTCGAATTCATATCTCAACTATTGCGATTGCGATGAGAGGTTACTATATAAAAATTCATTGGATCTCATCTTTTTTTTTTTAAGATGTGAAAGTAAAAACACTTTTCTTAAGTGATCACACACAAAAACCCATATAGAGAGAGCATCTTTCATTATTACGGAGTAACAAACGGTTGTCCTTTATATGCGCTGTACTATTATTTGGTTTTTAAAGTATATAGTATCTGCCTCAGGTGGGCAGCCAGCTAATCACCAGCTATTGCAAGTTTGCAACAAAATCATGGTCATCGGCCGTGACAGTGCAATAAATCAAGATTATAAAATTTGGGCATTTTTGTTTATTACAGGTTATGCAAGCATTTTTACAAAACAAAAAAACATTCGCCCAGTTGCCCTCACCTATAGGCCGAAGGTGACAAATCCAGCTCAATAACAAATACCCGGAGTTCAGTTCGGCTTAGAATAAAAGCAAAATGTAGAAGCAGAAGAACGGTTCATCTTTTCAACAAAAATGCAACTTTTGAGAAGTTGAGAATATCAAGGCGTTTTCATTGAAGGTGTGATTAATAATGACCATGTGGTGAAATTTGTTTGCCTTTGTCTAGCATAGTAAAATCAAAGAATGTACAAATTTAAGATTTTTTACATGTTTGGACTTTCAGACTAAATGCGCCCACCCCCAAAGGTGTTCTCCCCACTATAAGTCATGTAAAGGAATCCATCTTCATCCTTGTTCTCCTCATAAATTCCAGACATCATAGCAGCTGCAAGTATACAAAAAAAGGCACTCATTAAGGCAAGAAATAAGTAAAGAACAATAAGTAAAGACCAACAAAACATCTCCAATGGTAGGAGCCAGTTTTGGATTCTTGAGTCACCATTTCCAACAAATACAAATGGGTACATCTCCAATGGTAGGAGCCAGTTTTGGATTCTTAAGTCACTATTTCCAACAAATACAAATGAGTACATCTCTGATGGCAGGAGCCAGTTTTGGATTCTTGAGTCACTATTTCCAACAAATACAAATGGGTACATCTCCAATTGTAGGAGCCAGTTTTGGATTCTTAAGTCACTATTGCCAACAAATACAAATGGGTACATCTCCAATGGCAGGAACCAGTTTTGGATTTTTGAGTCACTATTTCCAACAAATACAAATGGGTACATCTCCAATGGTAGGAGCCAGTTTTGGATTCTCTAATGGCTGTGCCATTCACCCACTCAAGTCATCCTGTTGATTGAGCTGCCATCCCGTATATTAGTTCAGTTTTTGCTTCTTAATTTTTAATAACTAAAGAATCCAAAGGGGCATGTTGGTGACATTATGGCACACTTATCTACCACCTTAAAAACCTCCAATTTTTCCTTAATAGACAGTTATTTGAGGACGTATCAAGTATTTTATTGGTGCTTTAATTAGAGCATGTTATTATATGAAGGGAAAAGGTGCAAATAAGCCCATGAACTAACCGAAAAGGTGCAAATCACCCCTTTTATAGGAGGCTCTGTCTGGCCGTCGCCATTTGGATCGGTTCCCGGTGGAATTTTTTGATGAATTTTTTTGAGCATCTTCTTCATTAAGTCTAGTGTACTCATACCAAATTTCAGCTAAAAATTCAAATGAGAAGGTAATCAAATTATTTTCTGAAATATACTGTGCTGTTTAGCTGCGCATTTATCTTCAAACATTTATTTGACTGCCTTCCCGATTGCATTTTTTGCTGAAATTTGGTATGGGTAAGCTAGACTTAATGAAGAAGATGTTCAAAAAAATTCATAAAAAAATTCCACCTGGAACCGCCCCAAATGGCGACGGCCAGACAGAGCCTCCTATAAAAGGGGTGATTTGCATCTTTTCGGTTAGTTCGAGGGCTTATTTGCCCCTTCTCCCTTATTTGAAAGCCATTCTTGTGGGTGGATCCAAGGTAGAATGCTCTGATGATAAAACAACATAAAAGCTGTTCTTATATAACAGATAGGAATATAGGATGACAAATCAGTCACTGTACTCACCAGTTGGTGGAAGCATGTTCTTGACAAATACAAATATAGCCTTCTCAGCACCAAGCTTGATCCTCTTTCGGACCACATACACAAACTGCCCAACGGTCAGGTCAGCTGGGACAAGGTATCTACCACCCAACAAGAAAAGAAGAAAGGTGCAGTGATCAAACAGTTACACAATTTTTTACTTTTCACTAAACATCCAAAAATAACCCTGAACATTCAACAAAAAATCCTTATTAACCATTAACTTTTCAGGCATCTTATTTCTTTTGCCTCTAAAATTCTAAATAAAGTCAGTGACCCTGAACTTTCAAAAAACTCAAGATCTGACTCTAGAAACGTCATATATGCAATCGCCTCTAATTGTGAGACATAAAGCACATCATATCCATAAATGTCTGCTCAAATCATATCAAATGTTTGATAATGTAATGTGTTTTAGCCGTTACAAAGTAGTCTTATCATTGCATGCAACTTTCTTCACATATCTATTTTTATTTTGAAATTGAAGCAATGCATACAAAGTTAGGACTTCTTTATTTGTAAATTAGGGTTATTATTATTGAGTTATTTTATATAGTTTAGGGGCTAAATGGGACCCTTGAAGAGTTCAAGGTCAATTGGCGTTTTCATTAAAATGGCTTGGGTCACTTTTGGTATATGTCCATAACTTCTTAGAACAAGAAAGTTAGACAAAAGAAAATAGTGAAAATATGAAAGACATAAGAATTAATATTGAAAAATATTAGTTAGCAGATTAAAATTAATTAAATACCGGAAAACAATCATCAACGAGATGGCTACAAAAACATTTTGTGGAAGATGAAGAAGAAGGAACCTACTTTTTCTTATCAATTTCAGGAATGTCACTCCTTTCTGCTTTCTCAACAATCACCTGAATGCAGAAAATGAATGTAAAAGAAAGCACAACAGAGACGGAACAGGCAAACCATTCATAAGAAATTATACTTACTGGGATTCTATCAGGATACTTCTCCCGAATACGGCTAGATTCTGCCTGCCTCCTCTCTAACCAAAATTAATTACTCCCATTAAAAATTCAGCGTGACAAACTTCATTATTCAGCATACAAATTTAAAATAAAGTACTCATAAGATTCTCACATAAGGCACCAAGACCAATTGATGTTCTGTGGACATTCTAAAAATTACTCCCTCCATCCCACAAAAAAGTTCTGCTTGATAACCCCCCACATGTCATATTTAACAAAAGAATCTAAATACCATTACATTTAATTATTTAAATGTTTTTTTCATGGAAAAAGTGTCACGAATAACTTACCACATTAAATTCAGGTCAATCTATAAGTATAGCTACTGTCAGTTTTTTTGAATAGTTGTATCTTATGGTAAATAAAAAGTAGTTCATTATGCTAAAACAGACCCAACTTGTTTATTGAGATCGAGAACGTATAGGTTTAAATTATGGAAAATAACAATGTCCAAGCACTAAACAAGGCGATCACCATCAAACAGCTCATATCGAAAAACAATCAATTTGTAGTTCTGTATTAGTAATAACTTACACCCAAAAGCTCATCTAAACACCTTCATATAATTAATTGAAGGAATTCTTCAAACCAAACTTTTACACTTGATAATTATCAAACATCTATGCTGTAGTTCGGACGTTCAGTAAACCATAATGACATTCAATATAATAAAATACTCTTTCCGTTCTACAATAGCTGACAACTAGATTAAGAAAGAATAGTAAGGAATAATAACTATGCTAGAAAATTATAGAGGAAAGGTAGAAAAAGTAAAAAAAAAAAAAGATAAAAAATGAAAATTTCAAATACCGGAGGGAGTATATTCCTCGCGCAAATAAATTACACGCATTTAATTATATGCATATCAGTACGTTCTATAAACTACACCTAAGATCTTCTTCCATAACAAAGCAGGGTGATCTTGAAACTAAAAATCACTAAAATTGGCAATTTGGCATATAGTCAATTAATCATCACCTTAATTAATCAAGTCTGGTACGCGGGTAACTGGGTAAGATGCAAGATACTTGACGTGTCAATTATTCTCAACTATAGCCAAATTAAATCCAATTGCGTTCTTATAAACAGATCCACAGTCACAATTTCTAGTTTTTTTTTCACGAGATTACATGTAATAATTATTAATAATATCATTTGAGACTAACCATACCATTCTAACAAATGCACGCAATTTCCCCACAATTTCAACATGATTACTGAAAGAGACCCAAAACAGGCATGCCCAATTCAATTACAGGTTTATGCATCGAATATTTAAGATGATGAGATGTGAAAGTATATTTGTGTGTACGGTATACCCAAAGGATGATCAAGCTGGAATGAACTCTTTGCCATGGCAAGACTCGAACTTTGATCTGTCCACAAAATTCAGGCATACGAAAGGATTCAATCCCAGAAATACAAATATACAATGAAACTTAGATGCGTGCGTATACTTTTATCTGAAAAGAAGCTTTCAACTCACCGAAAACGTGAAGAAGAAGAAAAACCAAGAAGTGTACTCCAAGAAGAATTGCTGATTGTTGAGGCGACCTATAAAGACTCAACAAATACCGTACTTCCTTTTCAAGGAATTTTATGTATGTCTCTTGAACTTCTAAAAGATAGAAACTATCCTAATAATTGTATCAAGGAGCAAATTAGCTATTTAGCTCTCGGTAATTGTAAATAAGAAAAAAAAAACAAAACTCAAAATATATTGGTTTAGTCAATGAAAAGATTAAAAATGAAAAATTTATTTTCTTAAAAAAAGAATAACTCAGATAAAAATTAAAATATACGGAGTATGTTCGTTATTGAAATAAAAAAAAAAGATTTATTTTATGTTGAAATATTAACACTTTAATTATATATTGCGAAATTATTATTTTCCTCTTGTAAAAGAAGCAATTCAAATTCATAAATATTAATTTAGTCTTGTTGTAAAATTTTGAACACATTACTATATCGTTCGAAATAACATTCTTTAGTGTTGTTTAAACTTAATAATATTAAATTCACTATTTTGTAATCTTAGACTATTCATCACAGGGGCGTAGCTAGGGAGGGGCCAACCCTGACCCCGACCCAGCCCAAATTTTACCAATATCTATATTTTAAGGTAAAAAATCTTGTTTATTTTTTTTTTTTCCAAAAAATATTATTTGTACCAGCCCAGTCTGACTCAGTGTCTTGGCTCCGCCCCTCATCATCATACAAAATATGTTAAGTAAATTTAGTGCAAACAATACCAAAAATAATAGTTTTTACATCGCAACATACAACATCTGTCCCACTAATATTTGGACGTGAGGAGATGATGCAATTATTAAGAAAAATGAGTTATGTGATTGATATTGTATTGATACAGAAAAATAAAGTAACAATAATTTAGAACCACACAAACTTTACCGAATTTGATATGAGACAATCTTAGTGAGACAAAAAAAAATATGACACAATCTTAGCGGGACAGAGAAAGTATATGTTAACACTTTCCTAAAAGAACCATTAATATATAGTAATATTTTGAAACAATTTTTGATACTAACAATATTTAAGTGTGATACAAAAATAATAAGAGGAGTAGTTAGACATAAAATAGTTTTTCTTTAATTTTAAAATTTTCAATTTTTCGGTGGCTGGTCAAACTGGACCTATTTCGAGTAGCACGAGCAGTCAAATTGCGGGATGAGTCTACATAGTTGCAGGGTTATCGAACATGATAGCTTTTATATGACTGTTTTGTTCTTTGTCTCACCCTAGTGTAGCATTGAACGCTGTGATTGTAATGTTTCGGCTTTTGGTTGTTATGTTTCTGGTTACCCTAATTAATAATAATTAAGTTATTGATTTTAAAAAAAATTAATTCAATATATAATTTTTTTTTTGGTATTAAAAATCAATAAAGATTGTTTTTCTCCTTTATAGGAATATTAGAGGTACTTTTACACTTTTTACAACTTCAAACGTTTTATTTTCACTTTAGATGTGTATTTATACTTTAGGGCAGGCTACAGATGTAGGCACTTTTTTAGGTTACATATGGTTCGATCTTTTGTTCTATTCATTTTGAATGTGATTATATCATTATCATATGATGATTGCCCTAATGACTACGGGTACAAAATAAGACATTGTGCTTCTATTTGCTTCCGCTTAGTTTGTTGTTTTTGTTTGTGGTTCTAACCATATACTAAGATTTTATAGGATATTTAATATGATTTGATTATTCAATTATTTCCTAATTTTGATTGGAATCATACGATTTCAAAGAAATATGACTAATCAATCAAATTACCCATAGTTTGGTTTCAATTTTGAAGTTGGCCAAGCTGAACTGAAGTGACCGGTCGTACTTAATTGGATAGTCTCGGTAAAGATTATGAATTTTTGCACCTCATATAAAAGACCCCCATTTTGCTTGGTCTATCTTCAATGGAGCTAAACCGGAATGATAAATCCGAGTGGGTTGATGGCTTACTCTTGGATAGCATGAGTTTTGGAGAGCTAGGTGATGAAGGTGAAGATGATGCTCGTACGCCGGTTTCGGGTGAACTGGATGCAAGGTCGAGGGACGATGAACAAGGTCCAGAGGTCGAAGGCTTGAGTATGTGTTCTTGTCTTGGTTTTGTTTTCTTGATTTTCTTGATTTGTTTTCTTGATTTTTTGGTGTATTTGGGATATGAAAAGGGTTGTCTGTCTAACAGAGTAGTTATAAGTGCAGTGTCTGTCTACTGAAACATAGTAGGTTTGTTGTTTGACTCATATGTAAAATGTCTGTCTGACAGACAATGTAATTTGTTTGTCTACGTAGAAATAACGTCTGTATGGACATGCAACTATTGATACAAGAGTTTTTTGTAGTATGTTTTGATAGATAATGTAGTTGTCATGTGAAAGTGTGTATAAGTTTTGGACATGTGGTTGTATTTTTGAATGTACACAAGAATGTTGTGAAAAAAAATTATGCATACTATTGTCTGTCTGGACAGACAACATGTTGTGTTGTTGTTGTAAATTGTTATGAACATGTATTTTTTTGGAATAACAGACGAACAGGAAGAAAAGAGTAGTAATAAAGATCCCGATGTTGGTATGGAGTTTCCTAGTAAAGAGGTAGTTTATGATTTCTACAAGGCTTATGGTAGAAGAGTGAGGTTTCCTTTTAGACAACGAACTTCAAGTAAAGACAAATCAGGCAATATCATTGTGATTGTCTTAGAGTGTGCCCGTGCTGGAATTAGGGCTAGCCGCTCACAAAATGTTTTGAAGCCTCAACTTTCAATACAAGTTGGTTGCCTTGCAAGAATAAGAGCACACACAAATTATGCCGGAGGATGGGTAATTTCAAAGTGCTGTTTAGATCATAATCATGATATGAGTCCTACGAAGGAAAGGCTATTTCGGTGTAATAGAAAGTTGACACCGCAAATGTTAATAAACCTTGACATCAATGATGTTGCGGGAATACCAGTCTATAAGAGTTTCAACTCCGCCGTTGTGGAAGCCGGTGGATATGAAGAACTTCCATTTATTGAAAAGGATTGTAGGAACTACATACATAAGATGCGACAACTTAGATTAGGAAGTGGTGACGCAATGGCAATTCAAGACTTCTTTTGTAGGATGCAAGCACAATGCCCCGGTTTCTTCTTCATGATTGATTTGGATGAGGATTCAAGGTTACAGAATGTGTTTTGGGCGAACAATCGATGTCGATATGCCTACAAGGACTTTGGTGATGTCATAACTTTTGACACAACATATCTTACAAATCGATATGATACGCCATTTGCCCCATTCGTTGGAGTTAATCACCATGGTCAATCAATCTTGCTTGGTTGTGGCCTAATCTCGAGTGAAGATACACAAACGTTTGTGAGGCTTTTTAAAGCTTGGCTTGAATGTATGAACGGATGTGCCCCGAACGGAATTATTACTGACCAAGATCGCGCCATGCAAAACACCATTAAAATCGTTTTTCCGTATACGCGGCACCGATGGTGTCTATGGCACATAATGAAGAAGCTACCGGAAAAGATGGGAGGATTTACCGATAAAGATGTTATGTCCGGAATACACGATGTAGTATACGATTCACAAACCCCTTCTACATTTGAAGTTGGTTGGAAAGCGATTCTAGAAAGGTATTCAATACTTCTATTAGTTCAAAACCGACTAAATATTTATACCTAACAGACTAAAGTTGTCGGTGACAGACAATTGCTGTCTGGAATGAAGTAATAGCTTATGTCTCAGAGACAATAGTTGTCTGTCACAGACATTAGGGTCTGGGACAATATTATTCCTCATGCTTAACTAACAGACATATCCTGTTCATGACAAACATTTAATGTCTGGAACACACTAATAGTTTGGGTGTAACATAGATTGTTTATTTGTGCTAGGTATTCACTCTAAGATGATGATTGGCTTGAGGTGATGTACAACGAACGTCAACGGTGGGTACCTTGTTACCTTAAATCTACATTCTGGGCAGGTATGTCCACCACACAAAGAAGTGAGAGCATGAACACATTCTTTGATGATTTTGTGCACTCCAAAACAAATCTCAAACTATTTGTGGAGCAATACGGTTGGGCTTTGAGATGTAAGGCAGAAAGAGAGTTTCATGCAGACACAAAATCATTTACAAAAATGATTCCGTGTGTTAGTATATTTGAAATGGAGAAACAAGTACAAGGACTATATACACTTGCGAAGTTTAAGGAATTTCAAGAAGAAGTAGTTGACAAGCTTTATTGTGACATAGTTGAATGTCAAGATGGGAAAACGTTTCATGTGAAAGAAGTGAAACGAATTAATGGTTTTGCCAAGATTACTAACTACATAGTCGAATATGACAACACCTTGAATAAAGGGCAATGTAGTTGTCATTTATTTGAATTTAGAAGCATCGTTTGTATCATATGATTACGGTCCTATTGCTTGACGGAGTGGACACCATCTTGCCCGACCGATACATAATGCAAAGATGGAGACGTGATTTTAAGAGAGCATACACACGAGTCAAAATAAACTATGACGGGTGGATCACTACGGTGGAACAACAACGATTTGACAAGTTGTGGATGATGTTTGAAGTTCTTGCGAATGTCATTGCCGATGACGAGGAAAAATATGAAATTGTTATGCAATGGATGGAAGGGCAATTGAATGAATGTACCGCATCAAAGGGTAATTCAAGTATATGCGGTTCCATGATACAAATACCTCAAATATGCACAAGTGTCCATGCCGATCATCCCAATAAAATTCTTGATCCAAAAATATCAAAACGCAAGGGTGCACCTAGAAAAAATCGCATAAAAGATCCACTTGAAAAGGAAAGAAGAAACAAAAGGTGAATGTTTACTTACCTTTATCTACAAACTACAAAGATGTATGTTACACTAAATTTGAATGTCAAAACAATACTTATTTATTTATTTTTTTGCAGCCGAGGTCAAAATCTAAAAATTTGAACAAGGAGGCTTCTACAGTTGACATCATTGGTGGATCAGACAAGGACAATACATGTATGTTAACGGTGAAATTATTCACACAGGCAAAATGAAAGATTCCCATACAGACAAAATATCCACTTAAATAAGTGGTCAACTGTGAATGTAATGTTTGCAAAAAAACATACACGTTGAAAATATAGCAACCAATTGTTGAAGATTGTACAACATTTAGTACTAAACATTGTACAAACTTCGACATATTTCCCCAAAATACCCCAGCCATGTATTGTTTGGAAGTTCAACAGATACACAAAAACAACACTTGTTCGAACCACAAGTTGAAATAAAAATGATTTCTACAACACTCTACGCATCTTCCTTCTTCAAGCGCCAAAGCCGAATACCATATTCAAGTCTTTTGTTGGACATGTTGCCATAGTCGCAATCAGGAAGAAATGATTTTCCTTGGAGTAGCTGCTCTGCAAAAGCTAGGACCATCACGCCACATTCACCCAACTTGTAGACAGACAAAATTATCCCAGACAGAGAGTTACAACACTTCCACAGACAATAAATGCAATGCATATTAATATTGAATTTCATACGATTCTTTTTGTTGAGGCACAACATCTATAGCTTCTGCTTTCCATGGTTGCAAATCACTATCATCCGCACGCAAACCCATTGCACGAACTAGGTAAGGCAGCCGCTCACACAACTCCTTAGCATAAAATGGAGTCCTAGAAGTCTTAAGCGAGTCGTAAACTCTAACCAGTCTACTCCCAAACACAACTTCTGCCAAGATCCAATGCTTCTTTTCAATATTTAAAGGAAACAAAACCTGCCAAAAATTAACAATTCATCAAAAATTCTAGGTGTTCTATCGAGACAGACAAAATATTAGTGAAATAATAACAGACAGACGTTTACAACACTTAGACAGACAATACCGTAGTAAAACATTTCCAGTCCAGCTTTTTCAGGTATTTATCTCCACTCCAATGTGTGTCATTGCCTATCTCTTTCTTAAGGATTTTATGCTACAAACATTATATAAATTAAAAAATATAAGGCTATTAAAAAGATCATATCACGAAAAAGAAATTACATGAATACCACAACGTAGGGTCTGATCAAAGTCACCGTATGCGCACCGATGTCTTTATTTAGCAAGTACGTTATTGCATGAAGGTGCTACAAACATAACAAACAATGTTTAAAAAAATCTAAAAAAACATTAACTCAAAAGGTTTAGGTGTACAATGATCTCACCGTGCTCGACATCCAGTGATCAGGAGATAGTAGGACTCTGAGAAAACTCCTGCTCACTTCAAGGAGTTCATGGACACGTAGCATGACACTTGAAGGGGAAACACTGTCTTCAGCTTCAACCCAATTCTTCAAATTAGTCCACTCGTCTACTTGGCTGATATTATCCTTTGCTTTGTTCATGGCTTTTAGCCGCTTTGGCTTAGGGTTGGTGAAAGGGCTAAGCTTGAACTTAGAGGCAAACTTTTTCCTTTTCATACCCACGTCACCCGCCTCAGTCTCCAAGTCCCCTTTAGCGGCAACTTGCCACTCGTCCACCACGTCATCCCAATACGCCTTATCAGAAGATACAAAGTCATGATTCTCGGATTCATTTGCATTATCCACCTACATTTTATGTTAAAATTGTAACGGCCCAAATACAGACAGACAAATAATATACCTGAGACAAACAAATAACAAGGAAAGACAGACAAAACATAACATTTAGGAAAGAGGAAACATGTCATAAAGTGGGAAACACAAGCAAACTTACTTCATGCACGATGTTTGATATGATAAATGTTGCCCTGTCACCAATTCGGCCCTCCTGACCAACATCAGTAGCTGCTTCAAACATGTCAACAACTTCAGCGTGAGCTTCATGACCCCCCTCGGCAACGTGTGCAATTTCTTCATTATTCTTGTTTGTCCCTATTTCATCCAACAATCAAACAATATATATATATATATACATATACATATACATATACATACATACATATATACACACACACACACACACACACACACACACACACATAGTAGAGAAGAAAACAACTTCCATTCAATACCGAAAATGATATTCGAAATACAGAGTTGGGTATCGAAAAGTAAGTTGCGGCTCTCTCTCTCACTAGAATGATGTATGCGTGAATATCTCTGAAAACCGTCACCCTACACATTCCCTAAAAGGCAATATTTATATGCCTAGGGAATGTGTTGATGTGACCTAAGCATGAATTGGGCTCCTTTATTCATTTGGGCCCAATAGCACACTTTACACATTTCCTAATAAAGCTAGTCTATTTATAGCTTACAAAGATCCCAATGGGCTAAAATATCTAGACAAAATAGCTTCACAAATACAAAGATATTTACCAGGATTGGACACCATAAATATTCCTAACAATTCTCATGTTCAGCTTCAGCTTTATGACACTCATCAGAGGGTACATGCGCATTAGCCACCTGGTTTTAATGATAAAGGATAGACAAACATACAAACAATATATGAGACAAACGAGAAGAAAGAACGGAAAGACCATTCAGTGATGTGTGGAACAGGGAAACATGTTCTATAATGGGAAACGGATGAAATCATACTTCCTCTTGCTTTTCATGTTGAGCTACAGTGTCATGACCCTCATCAGAAGGTATTTCGTCATTAATATCAGACACATTTGCATTTTCGCCCTGAAATTCATTTTAAAGGACATACAGACACACAGACAAAACATATATGAGACAAACAAAAAAGGAAAGTCAGGCACTAATTAATGAATACAAAGGGGAAACATGTTCTATAATGGGAAACACAATAAAACTTCCTCATGCTTCTCATGTTGAGCTATAGCTTCATGACCCTCATGAGAAGGTAGAGAGTCATTCATATTACACGCATTTTCTTTTTCCACCTACATTTGATGTTAAAGGACATAGAGACATACAAACAATATATCAGAAAAACAAAAATAAAGGAAAGACAGACATTCAGAAATGCATTGAAAGGGGAAACATGTTCTATAGTGGGAAACCCAATAAAACTTACTTCCACATGTTTCTCATTTTCAGCTACAGATTCATGAACCTCATAAGGTACAGAGGCATTCATATCAGATGCATTTGCATTTTCCACCTACATTTTATGGTAAAGGACATACAGACAGGCAACAATTATATGAGAGAAACAAAAAGTAAATGAAAGACAGACATTCACAATGCATGGAAAGAAGAGCATGCTCTCAAGTGGGAAACACAATAACACTTACCTCCTCAACAACAACTGGAACTTCATCATTCTTGGCATCTTCATCTTCATCAGCATGATGCTTGGCATCTTCATCATGCTTCTCCTCAGCCATGCACACTCCCGACATTCATCATGTCTTCCATTGCTTTCAGCCTTGCCTCCAGAGACACCACTTCCGCCCGTAGCTTTTTCATTTCTTCCATCATCCTGGATTTGAAGCCATCATCATCTTCACCATCGTCTTCCTCGTCTTCCTCCTGCACGTACAAGCTATAGTCATTTACATACTTTAAAGCAAAATTTAATATTTTAAAAACACGCAAATACATTACATCGTAATGATCCTTGAAAATCAGTTCATTTAGCTTTTGCAAATGAAAGAACCCCGTAACCTTCCAGTGAGAAAGGGAATGTCATGATTGCCAACGCGTTCAGCACATCTCCGTCCTAGCTCTGGCAGACTCTCATAAGCTTCAAACCTGAAAAACAACAAAAGAAAATTAAACAAAAACAATGTATGTCTGTATGAAAGGATGAAGTGTCTGTGTGGAAGAAAAAAATTGTTTGAGTGAGAGAATAATATTTTTTTGTCTTTCAAATTACATATCTGCCATATAGACAACTATGTGTTTCATGCAAACATGACAATACAAACACACAATGAAATATAAGGTGTACATTACCTGTAGGACGTGAGGAAGGCCGTGCAAAGTGAGTTTTGCATTTTTGTATTGGGGATTGGCTTTCTTACTCTCCTTGAACCTCTCGCCCTGCCCAACCATAAGAGTCTTTATATGAGAAACCATAAGATTGTAGGACTCTTTTGCCTAAGGGTAGACTTTAAATTTGTCTAAGTCATCAACCAATTTCAGAAACTGTGAATTCATTTGTTTTCTTGTTCCTCGGTAGCAAAACACACTGCACATAGAAAGCACATGCAAGCTTGAGAGGATCACCGCGATCACCTCTCTTTTTCGGCTTTATTGACTTCATCTTTGCCGTCAACGTCCCAAAGCTGATCTCCGTGGCACCACCGAAGAACTTATCTAGCAACGTCCCATTGCCTTCATCATCATCAGAGATGACCAGAGTTGGACTAATAGAACAGAACCCAGTTATGCGTTCAAAATCTGCATAGGTAAACTTCAACAACTCGTCATTGACGCAAAACCATAGTTCATATTTGGGCTGGTCACACACAAGCCTCAACAACAAGCTATGGACAATTTGTGCAGAGAACTGAAGGTCTAGCACATCAACAAGATGGCCCCACGGCATATTCCGAAGTGAGCAAGCTACTGAGGAGACAAAGCTGATTTCACCAACTTTGCAACGTCTTTCAATTGTGAACATAGTAATATTTGAGCAGGAAAGTGGTCGCGGATAGGAATTTGCAATTCGAAAGCCCTATGACATGTCAAAAAATGCAGGCCACATAAGACAGACAATTCAATAAGAACGACATGTATGTATTTATAACATCACAGACATTTATAAAGTCCTTACAGACAACTCCAAACATATGACAGACAAACAAATATGAATGACAGACAAATGCATACTGTGTTTAGCACGAAACAAGAATATGCTTACATACGTACATGATCCATTTGTCTTATATTGAACCCATTTTGCAATTTTACAAACTTTTGGGAGATGGGAGCGGGTGGGTTGTGTTGAATCTTAGTATGTTCTTCCAAACTCATAGGGGGTTACGTTTCTACTTTTCTAAATCTTTTATGTAACCTTTACCAAATGATAATTTTAGTCTCTAATAAAACCTTTATTACAACTGCTTTATCTCTAAATAATTTTTCAAAGTATTATTACAAGAAAACCCGAGGGGCACTTGTACACATTAGGAAAAAGGGGGAAACAACAAAAAACATGTATTTATAACATCACAACAAATGACAGACAACTCAAAACAAATGACAGACAACTCATAACAAATGACAGACAACTTGAAACATATGACAAACATGGAAATATGAATGACAGACATCTATTTAAAACAACACACTCATGTATGAACTCCTTATAGATAATTCAAAACGTGTGACAGACATCTCACAACACACAAACAGACAGACAAACAACTCTTAAATCACATAAACAAAATTAGGTCTTGTTTAATTAAATCAAATCAATTATGCACAAGTGAGTACTACAAGGATGAAAATATTACCTTTCAGCAAGTCTTGTCAAAGTAGTTCTCACCATACCTTCAAACTTTAAACACTCACTAATTTGAATAAATCTTTAAAGTCATCAAATCTCACATCAACTGATTTCCGGCCATTCAAGGTCTTTTCCGTTGAACTTGGAGTAGCGCCTCATCGGTTGGAGCGGGGTTCGTCGGTTGGAGCAGCTACGGCCGGTTGGAGCATCGTCCTTCGCTGGGAGCAGCCTTCATTGGAGTAGCGTTCGGCCACCGATTGTGTGTTGGGAGCTTCGGTTCAGACGTAGATGATGGATGGCTTCGGATTTTTGAATGGCGGTTCGAAGTCGAGGGGGTGCGGGAGTACGGGGCGGGAGGAATGGAAGGGTGGAAGAGAAAAGAAAGATGTGTAAAAATTTGAATTGAAAAAGAAGTGAGGTAAAAAAAGGGGAGGTATTTATATGGGGTACCAAAGGTGTACACAATTTGTGTACACCTAGGAAAATTCAAAGATTATCACTTAGATTCTTTTATAGATAAAATACTCCGTATGTCATATCTCAATGTTCTCATTTTTCTTCGTAGAGATAAATAACATTCTTAAATGACAACTTAATCATCAAGTATAAAAGGTACGCAGTCAATGACTTCCATTCTAAAAAGGGAAAAGGGGCAAATAAGCCCTCGAACTAATCAAAAAAGTGCAAATAAGCCTTTTTGTAGGAGGTTTCGTCTGTCTATCGTCATTTGGGGAGGTTCCCGGTGGAATTTTTTATGAAATTTTTTGAGCATCCTATTCATTAAGTCTAGTTTAGTCATACCGAATTTCAGCTAAAAAATCAATCGAGAAGACACTCAAATGAATTTTTGAATATAACTGCGCAGTTAAACAACGCAGTGTAGTTCCGAAAATCATTTGAGTGCCTTCCCGGTTGAATGTTTAGCTGAAATCTGGTATGGTTAAACTAGACTTAATGAAGAAGATGCTCAAAAAAATTCATCAAAAATTTCCACCGAGAACCTCCCCAAATGACGATGATCAGACAAAACCTCCTACAAAAGGGTTTATATGCACTTTTTTAATTAGTTCGAGGGCTTATTTGCCCCTTTTCCCTTCTAAAAATCATGCATATATTTATATTGTGTGTTCAAAGAAAGTGCTTTAAACACTTGTGAATAACTTGACATTTTTCTTTACAAAAACATCTTTGCTGATTAATATTGTCAAAAAAACCAGAGTCAATGACTTCCATTCTAAAACAAAAGAAATCAAATACATTCATATCCCAAAATGTCATTCTCCTTTTCATTTGAGTTTAAAGGGATTCTTGTGCCCTTTATTGGTTTTTTATGGGTTTAAAAGGTGAAAGTTGTTTTGAAAAAAAACTCGAAAAATTTTTGAATATTGAAAAATTATGGTACACAACACATAATTTCAGGACTGAAATTTTATGATCTAGTCTGTTAAAATATGATATAACCTATTTAAATATGATATGATCTAATAAATCTCTTGTACATGTGTACTTTACTAATTGTCAATCTGATATGTTTAAATATGGTATGAAATAATCTTATTCTAGATTACAAAAATCCAAGTGAAAACATATATGAAGATTGAAGAGTAACATCTATCATCTGACCCTTTAAGACAATGAGTCATATTGAAATTTGAAGCTAAAGGTCATTAAAATTTTAAAATCAACATTAAGAAGTTAAAAGAGAAATTAATATAACCCAGCCGCAGATTTACCAAAAAAAACTCATCCGCAGTATAATTCTTGCATTCTAATGTTTAGTTTTTTGCCATAGAACAATTCTTGCATGTCCGAATACAATAACTCATCACTCATTCAATCATGCATGCTTCATTTTTTCATACACAATCGAACATATACATTTTGATGCACCGTGTTTCATTAACTCGTGAGTATAAACGTTATGATCGTTAAATTATTTTTCAAATCAAATCAAAGAATGTTGCATGACATTTGATAGCCATCAACCAAAGTTTTATGATTATATATTTATATAGCTAATAAGAAATTGTACTAGAAAATTGTATCTAGCTAGGTTCCTCACTAGAACTATATATAATATACGGAGTATATTCCTAGTTTATTCTTTGGTCTCAACTCTTACAAATAAACTGTACTAATAATCTGCTTCATTATTGGGCATGGAGTCATGGACTAAAGCTATTTGTACCAGCTACAAGGAACAAAATAAATTGATTCATCCACAAAACTTTGGAGTATGAAACTGCTGAATAAGCAAGCAGCATTATGTATGTACTCGATGGGGCGGTTGCCTATGCCATTCATTTGCGAGCAGCATGGTAAAGCTCCAAGTAGTCAAGAGCGGGGCGGTTCCAGGACCAATCTTGCTCCATCACCTTTTTCCTCAATGAATTTAACCAGTCCTGAGCGTCGTACCAAGCCGATATTGCTCTGAAATATACCAACTCCAAATCATCACTACATTCTTTTATGGGAAAATCACACTTTCGATCTCTAACGTATTTCAAAATTTGAATGTTGTTCTTTTTCTATTGATTTTTGCATATATAGTCTCTTTAATGCATAACGAGTTCGTAACCATAGTCCCCGCCTTTAATAATTTAACAAACTCTGTTTTTACATTATTAACGGCATGGCTATATTTGCTAGATGTAAAATTGATGGACAATGTTTGCTGCATATCCCACTACTAGGGGACAAAACTTTGATAAATTTTTAACATATTTTGATACATTTTCAGCGGAACAAATGTCAAGGACTAAAGTGACAATTTGTTCACAACTAAGGGGCGAATATTTACAGAAACTAAAAGACATGAACAACATTTTAATATGCGATATAAATCAGGAACTAAAAGCGCAATTTCTCCTTCTTTTAGTCTGTGAACTTGAGTATTTGAATGGTCTAGAAATCTATTTGGTGTACTTTTTAATAAAACTCCCTAAATAGGAGTAAAACATACTCCGTAGTAAATTTTCTCAAATAGGAGAACACTTGTTTTCTTCCCAAAATGGGACTCATACACGCTTTATTTAAAGGAGCTTTTATGCTTTTATAAATGTTTCCTCCCTCCCAAACCCCATTTGAACAATCAATTAAAAACGGTTGGAGTATTAACTATACCTTACGGATTATGGTGTTAGGGGCGATGATGATGAAATAGACAAGTTCACCCAGTCAAATATAATTAATAGAAAACAGGTTAAGAAACAAAAAAACGAGTCTATCAAAGCGACGACTTCATGTTTGCCAATCACTTTCACTTCAATTTTCACTTTTGTGGTTCAGTCGATAATATAAAGAGAAAATAACGGTGAAAATATTGCTAGTCGAATACAAAACTGTGACCTCTTTAATGCAAAGTGACTATATTTGACCAATTATAATGACCGAGGTGGTGCACTGGTGCGCCTAGTAGTTTAGTTGTCTCTAAGTGTACCATTTTAGTAGTGTCTTGCAAAAATCCTCATAACTTAATCAGAGTATGGGAGAACATATACTTGCCTGTTGAGGGCATAGTCGACACCGCCAGCATCTGCCCCATCAAAGCTGAACCCATTTGGTTCAATACCACAAGCTTCAGCTCTCTCCTTGCCATGGTCAACATCAAACACAGTATCATATAGTCCTATACAACATGATACACTCAAATTGGTTATAGTTGCTTTATGTGAAATTGAAATAACTCAAGGCTATGTTTGGATCCCGGAAAATGCTAGAGTGAGGAAGGGTAATGTCAAGAGAAGATTTTTTTTTTTATGTTAATTTAACCTCATAAAAGGCAAAGGAAAATGAAATATGATTCCTTAGAACTTATGATAGTATAAGATAGAAATAAATTACACCGAGAATTCCAACAAATAATAGTTCGCTTGAAATGATGTTTGTTTTCCTCGACAAATTTTTTCCCTTCTGAACTTGTTTATAACTGCTCTCCTCAACAACTCATTTAGAGATAATGGTCCCAACTTCAATTATTTATACATACTCTATGTAAAAAATCTAAATATATGTAACATAAATTTTGAAAAATTATCAATTTTAAATTTCCTTTTCATTTTCAAATTTGATAGTGAACATAAGGAAATAACTTTCCTTGCATTTTTTCCCTTGCCCTAGCATTCCCAGATTCCAAACAGGCCTAAATGTACTCAAATAAAAGAAGACATAGAAAGACGGAAAAACCATTTATCTATTAACCTCCAGTTTTGCGAACTACAGGGATAGAACCATATCTCATTGCTATGAGCTGAGTTAGTCCACATGGCTCAAATATAGAAGGGACTAATATAAAATCCGCGCCAGCATATATCTGCAATTTTATTAATATTGAATCAGTGATTACAAATACTCATCACACAACTTTGAAAAGAACAAGGACATGTTTGGTAAGCTATAATGTGATGCAATAAAATCATTTCATAGTAGACAGTTGTACAATGAATTGAACCCACTGCATCTGGTAATGCATTTGGAAGGCAGAGAATGTGTATGTATATATATACCAGGTGAGAAAGAGGCTCATCATATGTTAGACAGAGACGTGCACGATCAGCAAACGCTGAATGAAAATGGTTAGCCAAACTAACAAAATCATTTTGAATGCGCGGATCGGGTGCTGACCCTAGCAAGACAACCTGCATGCCATAACAATCAACCTTCATAATCACAGGACAGTGAAACCCTAATCCAGTTTAGTTAACTTTTAAAATAAACCTCACAATTATTGCATTTTAGGTGCATGTTTTTCATGATCAAAGAGATGCGATTTAGTTTTATCCAATATTTACTAGCTGAATATTTTCAATCATTTAGGTGTTGTTTGGTAGCGCACTCTTTCTTTCTGCTTTTTATTTGACCTTTCTAAAATCAAATAACAGGAAGTTTGGTTCAAAAATGAATATCTTGATTCAATATTTTCAAAAATATATTTTTCATTTTACCATATTCGGAAATATTTTGAAAGATTAAAAACATATATGGTCATATTCTTGGAAAAGTCATGGGTTTTAGTAATATTAGGGTATTTCCCCCCTTTTCTAAAAGCCATTAAATTTTGGGACTCAGACTTGGATGTTGTTGTTATTGTACTAAAAGCAATTAAAATTTCTATAAAATAAAATTTAATTTTATAATAAATAATACTATATAAATCACATATTTTATAATAAACACAGATGCATGACATATTTTAAATCTAATAAACTCTAAAACTACACAAAAAACACTTCTGAAAAAAACAGAAAATGAGAAAACTTTAGAATGCTAAAACATAAGAGACATTTAACAATACTGGCTTGAAAAAAAGTATGGATAAATTATAAAAAATATAAATAAATAAAAATATAATAGGGATAGATAACCTGTCCATTCCGTTCCATAGTGCGAAAAAGG